AGACCTTAACACTTGATATTAAATCGATCCTTTTATTTTAAAAACAAAATTAAAGTTATAAAAATAATAAAAAGGATAGCTTTAAAGAGTTTTTAAAAAATATACAGTAAAACTTCCATAATGCACACTCCTTCTAAATTCACATTCAAATTCGGCCCAAATATGTATATGATCTCTATAAATGCACTTTTTCTTGATTTTTTTAAAAGAATATTGTTAAAGTTCGGTCTCAAGAGTATGCACTGATAGAGGTTTTACAGTATTATTTTATTAATATTTCAAGTGTCTATTAATATATATAATGTAATAATGTGCCTGCCTGTATGTTTAAATAAGGCAATAATCTGATATTACAAAAATAATGACGTAAAATTATCTTAAAGAATCTTCTACGATTTCAGCGTCCGATAAGCACCGATTATAATAACGGAAATTACTATAAAAAAAGGCATTTATTAAATAATATCTCTATAATTCATTGCAATTAATTTTATCAATTATAATAAACTACGTATACCTAATTTGTCCTTTAAAGTCTGCGTGTCCGGGAGAATGCCCAATTTTTAGTGGATCATCATTGAATAAAACGAATTGGTTCTCAATGCTTATTGGAGTAGTTGGTTCACAATTTAAATAGATATTAAACCGTTTCAGAGGTACTGAAAGTATGTAGCCAAGATGATACCATTTATTTAATTCAAGCATTTTGCTGTGATGATTAATTCCAAAATAATTTTTAACATTTGTTGAAAGTTGAGCATGTGGAATTGCAGTTGTTGGTGTTAACCAGAATGAGGGAGTACGGATCTCATGTTTTGCACCTAAATATTTGAGGCAGAAAAATCAGTAACACAGTAACATCCTAAACACGATTTTTAAATTATTTTTTAGTAATAAAATATTATACCTTTATGAAAGATAGCAATCCAATTTGAATCATAACTCTCAAGCTTGAATCGCAATGTAACCGAAAATTCATCTGTCACTGGAGGCAATTCACTATGCTGGATGATAATCTTTTCATCAACTGGAAAGTCTAAAGGCTTAGACAAAATCTCAAGGCAATCTGAGAGTATTTTAATTCATATTTTTATTAACGAATATGTGTACTAATAAAACTTGTTTTTGATTTGATTCAAAGAAGTTTATTCTTACTAGCAGCATTAAGATCTTTAAGTAAGCCTGTTTCTATGTTGTAGACTAAACCATGTATAAAGACTTTACGACCCCTTTTCCACGCTCTTTGAACAATATCTGTGGCACAAATATTGTAAATTTGCTTTTTGACGTTAAGTTCAACCTATAGTTTATAACGATCTTCAGGCGTTTTATTATCTAACTGAGATTTATTTAACAAGTAGACCTCTTTGATATTTTGCACCCAGAGGCCAGTGTAACCATTTTGGCCAGTGTGATCATCTTGGTCTTTACCTTATATAAAAAGGAGAATGAGGTGTTAAAACCTCCAGTTTAACAAGGCCAAAATTTTCCTTTTAATATACTTACTTATTGATGCATTAACACTATCACATCCGTAATGGCCTAAAATTGTGGTATAATTATAAATTAATACTCTTTAAAAAATATACAAAAATCTTACATTTTTGCAATAACATTAAAATGTTCTAGATCTAGTGTAAATTATTAAAATTATAGATCGCCAAGAGGAATTTTTCATAATAAATCGCAAATTTAGTTTCTTACTAGCACTGTTAACAAGGTATTAACGATGTTTCAACGAGGTTTTTTAATGCCATCGCCAAAAATGTAAGATTTTTGTAAAGTAGCAAACCTCTAGTCATACCGCATACTATTATATGATCAACTTTAAGTTCCTCTATAGTGTATTCTATTACTGATAACGCACTTAAATCTGTAATATTGAATTGATTAGCAATATTTCGAAAAACAAAGATTTCACCAGGATCTGATCGAGTTATTTTCTGGAGAACACCTGCTGTCAGAACAACCTATTATTAAGTTAAATATAAAATTCCGGGAATATGTTAATATGCTTTAATATATATATAGATATTCTT